TCTATCCTTGATACTTGAAGCACAGCCTGCTTGGAGATAACATTTTTTGTTCACATTTTCTGTCCTTAATTTCTTTAAAATGCTGATCAACAGATTCCTTGCTTTTTATGATGTTTTCAAGAGTTTGATGCCAATTTGGTTCCATTGGCCTTAAGGATTATTTCCTATTTTGCATGAGGCATGAATTTTTTTAAATCATAAAATATAATAATTTTACCATATGTTTCAAAATTGATCATTATGAATCAACTTTCCCTGATGCCCTGTGGTTAACATATAAATTCCAGTCTTTTTCTCCAGAAAACTGTTTTAGATTACAAGTTTAAATACTAGTTTTATTCCACTGTTTTCATTTTCTTCTCAGGAACTCCAGCTTCTACTAATGTTAGACCTTCTTTACCTGTCTTCAACGTCAGCCACTTGCTCTCTGAACCTTTCTACTTCTTTCTTTTCCTTGTGTCATTGTCTTAATTGGTTTAATGCTTTTCTTCAATAGCATTTATATTTTCATTTATTCTATTTCCCATTATCATTTTTATAATTTCATTTTTAATGCTAATTTACATTTTCTTCCTTTCTTTGAGTCCAATCAAATCTTTTACACTTTCTCTTTTTGTCCATATCTGCTTTTACTTTTTGTACTTCTGATTTCAGATTTTATTTTCATATTCCCAAATGTTTGTTTCAAGATATTTAATTTAGTTTAAAATGTTGCATTTTCATTTTCAACTTTGTAGTTGATTCTGTGGGGATTTGATTTGATTTTTTTTATTTGACTCTTTGATTTTATAATAGCTTTGCGTCAATGAAATTTTTTTTTTTTTTTTTTTACTTCATGAACACAGTTTCTAGTTTGAAAACGTCCTCTTCTGTCAGTTCTGCCTTCTTCTGTGCAGTGCTGTTAACAAGTACTTAGTACAAGTTAGTTGGGAGGAGCAGAAATTGGCATCCTTTTACTTTCTTTCTTTTATGCAGAATTTTTAATTTTCTCTCTTTTGCTTCCTTCTATCCCTTTGCTGCTGTACCTCCAAGGAGAACCTCCCTTTCCTTACATATCTCATTCTCTATCAGAAGCTATCTTCTCCATAGCTGACATTTATGCTTTATTTGCAAGCCCCTTCCATGAGGTTGGTGCTGCACATGACTACATCCAGCCTATATTCAGCATTTCAGCAGTCAGCATTGGACTTTCTATTTCCAGGAATGACTTTGTCTGTGCTTTATTTAAGTCTTTCTTGTCTCTTTACTGTTTTTTACAAAGCTTCTCCTCCTTGGCTCTCCACACTCACAGACTGACTGATTTCTCATCCTGGCTTTCACATTTACTAACTTGGAAAAATAACTTGATCACTATAAGGCAGTTTTTCAGCTAAAAATATTTCCCAGCACAATGCTTTCACATGCCTTATGGCTATTGTAGTTAGTGGCCTTGAAAGTAAAAGTTGAAAGAAAATTTTGCATTCTTTAGACAGAGCTACTGGAGCTACAGAGCTGTTCTCATCAACCATCTTTATCTGCCCACAAAAGCACACACTGATGCCCAACAAGTACAGGAAGTAATATACTTCCATTGTTTTCAATATTTCATCAGTGCTTTCCTCTACCAGAATGAGCAGTAAAGCTGTCATCAGAAAGGAAACATAGGCATAAAAATTATTAGTTTAGACAGATTGCTGACTACTGGGTCAATCTGATTTCAAATGATTGGCACAGCAGTAATATCAAATCTATGCAGCTGATGAGAAATGTTTGGCTGAATGGTGTGGCCTTGTTTCCCAGGTCTGGATCTGGCTAACAAAATGCCTTCTCCTAGAACTCTGAAGACTCATCTGCCTGTTCAGATGCTACCACCTTCCTTCTGGAAAGAAAATTCAAAGGTAAGAAGAGCGAACTCTTCAAACCCAATTTGATTAGCATGGCCTAATAATGTCTCCAAGTAGAAACAGTAAAAGACGCTAAAAGAAAGTCAGTGGAGCCATATGGCAGATGATGGCATTACCCCACATTTCCACCTACTCCATTCTGGATTTATCTTCCTTCAAAATATTATTTTGGGGTACATATTGGGAAATTTTCAGACAAAATTATTTTGACTGCCATCTAAGCCACATTCAAAGAAGGTGATCAATGAAACAAGCAGGTGTTTCCTGAGGAAGAGTGATCTCTTAGATTGTCCTCTAAGGAACCAGCAGAGTCAGACCTGAAAGAAAACTATTTGGAGGAAAACCTGTGAAAAGTGGAGTAAGACAAGTAAGTATGGAGAACAATAAGGTCATGATGCAAGTCTGACCCCTATGAAGGAGAGGCAAGGAAGGAAAGTTGAAGACTCAGACTACAGTGCAGCCATGAGCAAGGTTCATCCAAGTTGATGGGGAGTCCTCCAGTCAAACTCAGCCATCAGAGAGTCCCATATCTCATAGAGTGGACCTGCGTAGGCATGCCTGCTGTGTTTACTCATTAGACAAGAGCAGCCATTTGGAAAATGTGTTTTTGTAAAGAACATGGTAGTGGATTCAGAGTACAGCATTTGAGGCTATCCATCACTTATGCTTTCCACATCCAGAGATCTGAACAGTCCATGTTCATGGCCACCATCTGGCTGCCCTGATGAGATAATGTACACCTTGGTATCCAAAATCTGCTCCTCTTCCTTTCAGGATGAGAAGTATGATTTTGTCTTATTTCAGTTTGTTCCCTGCTCCGACACACACACCTTAATAGACAACTGAGAGATCAACAGACTCTCAGAAAGCATATCTCATGAAGCAAGCTCCTAGGTACTGTTACACCTTTACTTCCTCTGCTTTCAAAAAATATAATTTTTGACACTTCCTAATTCAGATCCTATAAATGCAGTGTACATTGAATGTACCAGTGTTTCCTTCTGATTTCTGCTTTATAAGCTAGTCTTAAATTAATGAAATGTGTAATATAAACAAAATATTGACTTATACATTCGCAATAAAAAGTAGAGCCATTCAGCAGAACCAAATGCTTGTATCAGCTAGACCAGCACATCATCTCTTTGTGGGCAACCTGCTTTGTAAACACAGTTATCTGAAGATTGCTGAGAAAGTCAGTTGATGTTAAAAAGTGTTTTTCAGCTAAGACAACTGCAGAGTCTTAACAATCTTCTAGACTGAATTTATCAAGAAAACCATAATGGTCAAATCTAACCAAGATACTCTCTCCTTGGTGCAGTGCTCAGATACATGATGTAAGTAATTGCTTTTGACTTCCTCTTTCTTCTGAGCTTCCATGACTCACCAGCTCTTTATTTTGCCCATCTCCTATCTCCAAATAAGGTACAATACAATTGAATAGTTTTTCAAGTATCTGCTTGCTTTACTTCCCTGATTTGCTGATTTGCTTCCCTAAGATCATGCCCAGGTCACCTGGATGTGTGAAAACTTCTTGGTTTATTCCCACAGATAAATATCTTCACTAATTATATGTTCATTTTATTCCTCAAGAACCAGTATTTTCTCCAAATCTTGTAGACTCATTGTCAAAAGACATACTAACACTTTGTTAGTCATCAGACTAACATCTTCTTTTTGTAAAATCAGGTCTTCTAAATAATGTAAACATCTCAGTGGTAGTACTTCCATTTAGACTTGGTGTGAATTATTTGAGTAGGAAATGATTGTAGGGAGCTTAATCCAAGTTTTTCATTTTATGATGGTATGGTAGCCTTAAAAAAGGTCACTCCAAGATAGCTACATCTAATCACCAGCACCTGAAGATTTACCACATATTGCAAAATGGACTACTCAGATGTGACTAAGTTAAGGATCTTGAGATGGGGAGATTATCTTGGATTGTCTTGGTCTTAAATATCAGCACAAGGGTATTTAAAAGTTGGAAACAAGCATACCAAGGGAGGAAATAGGAGCTGTGACAACTGAAGCAAGAATCTGGAGGGATTCAAGGAAGGGGTCAAGAACCAAGGAGTACAGGTGGCCTCTAGATGCTAAAAACAAGAAAATGAATTGTCCCCAGACCCATTAAAGGAACCAGCCTTGCTGACACCTTGACTTTAACCTCTTGTACTCTCTACCCTGTAGAACTGTGAGAAATAAGATTTTGTTGCTTATGAGCCACTCAGCCTGTGGTATTTTTTTTATAGAATCCTAGATGGATGAAGATAACATGAGTAGCCTCCTTAACTTCCAGAAATATCACAGTTAGGGTGAATGTAGTATGCACCATGTAGTATCCAAACTAGGACACTTCTGTGATAGAAAAGAGGTGCTCTTAATGATCATGTTAAGACCACAGCTATAAAGTGGAACTGTGCCTAGGCAAACTAAAAGGGATAGTCACCTTTGATCACAGAAAACGCATAAACATTCAATTATTCAAATAGGATAGTCCAAGACTCTACAAAGAGGCTTTCTAAGATTATGGTCCTCTGTACTGGATGATACTTTGCTGTCTTGCTTTCTCTCTGCTTCTCATTCCTCTTGCTGGCCAATTCCAGATTATCTATGTGGCTAGAAATGCCAAGGACTGTCTGGTCTCCTACTACCATTTCTCAAGAATGAATAAAATGTTGCCTGACCCTGGTACATGGGAGGAATATGTTGAGACATTCAAAGCTGGAAAAGGTGAGTGGAAGAAAACTGTGAGTTCATATTTCCTTATTCATTCATCTGCTGAGAGCAGAAAGGAAGATAATTTTCATTGAATGGCTGTATCTATCAAGGTCTTGTGAGGAAGTAGATGGCACACTCAAACCAGGTCATCTGGGAAGACTCTAACAACAAGACTATTTACAAGGCTATGAGCAGAGTTTGAGGAAACTGACAAGGGCTAGTACCATATTCTGGGGAGAGTACCAGCAGAGAGCCAGATCTCTCCAGAGACAAAAGAGGACCCCTTGACAGGGGCTAAAGCCTTTGGTGGGGGAAGCAGTGAACCACAGTGAGCCTACAGGAAAGCCATCAGGGAAATAAACACAATGTCTTCCTCTCCTTCTGCCTCTAAACGCCTTCCTCTGCCTCTTACTGACACAGTCCAGCTGCAATCCTGAGGGCAAAGGAGCCCATCGAAACAGTCCATGCAGGATACTATGCAGGGCACCAAGCAGAGAGGAAGAGGATGGAAAGTGGAGTTGGCAGAGACAACAGAAAATACCCAGCGAGCCTCTCTTTTTTCTATTTACCATCAAAGAGAGTAAAGGTGCCCAAATATCCCAGTATTTATAAATTTTTCATAGTAAAAGTCTTCTTTTTCAGCCTGTTCAGAAACAATATTTATTGTATAATATTGACCAATGCACTATGTGATGATGCAAGGAAAACAAAGGTGTTGAATTCCTGGCCACAAGACAATCTTTCATGGAGTAATAAGTTCGAGGGTGGAAATATAAGCCAAGGGATCCAGAATACTTTTTATCATCATCCTAATTAAAAAAAAAATCCCTGTCTTATGTAAATGAGAATTCTCCCCAGGGTCTTTGGTCTTCTGGTTGTATTTACTAAATGTCCCCTTTTATTTGAAACAATCAGGTTTGTTTTACAAGTTTCATCATGGCATTGACATCTTATCTCTCTCCTTCTCCTCAGTGCTGTGGGGTTCCTGGTATGACCACGTAAAGGGATGGTGGGATGCAAAAGACCAGCACCGTATTCTCTACCTCTTCTACGAGGACATGAAGGAGGTGAGGGCAGTGCCATCTCCATCAGATCCTCCCACATCCTAGGATACATCAATCCCCATTTAGAACCATAGCGCATGGGCTTTCTTACAGAACAGCCTTCAGTGCAAGTCCATAACACTCTTTGCAACTCAGTTTTATCCTCAAAGGTCTAACTACTTTTTTGGTATTCTAAATTTTCTTTGCTTTAATACAGTTTTCAAAAGATTCTTCTTCCACAGGAAATAGCACATGCTTTATAGTTGAATCAATCTGTTGGATCCTGATACTTATGAGCCAGATACATTTATCTACAAAGCGATATCACGTGTATACGTGTATCTCATGAGATCTTTTTAAAGATTTACACTATCACATTTGTAAAGTGTACATAGTTGTGTTCAAGAAATTTAGCTTCCTTCTCCCTCTTGTACACCTCAACCCCATATCATAAAGTAAAGTTTACTCCACATAAACACTGGTAGGATTTATCCCATATATTGGGACAGTGGACTGATTTCTGAATTTCAAACCATGGTGTATGAGTGGCTGCACAAACTCACTCTTATGACCCAGTGCTTCAGCATCCTAGAATTTAAAAAGTAGCATCTAAGATGTCCTTGGAAATTTAATCAAAAGCTATAGCTTTCTCTCTTTCTGTATCTCTTTGATGAAAAGGATCCAAGAAATAAGGACTTATATTTTTGGGTCAACTTGAGATTCATTTTATTCCTCCTCTTAGTGACCTTCTATTAAATTAACAGGTTCTTTTTGCCATCTATTGTAGTCCAAATACTAGAGTTAGTCACACTATACTTCACCACCAACATTGTTCCTCCTTCACACAACCATCCCTCATCTCTCCCAGGAGTTATCATTGCTCCTTCTCACCAAATCTTCTGGCACCCTGTATTACTCTGCAGGCAACATGTACTTTTTCAACCAGCAGTGTGGTTGTTTGTGTTTATGTTTAATTCCCTTCCTGCAAGGTAAGCCTCCTAGGGCAGGGACAGCCCTTATCTTTGTGTTGTTGCAGCATCTGAGACAGTACAGTGCCTTGCACTAGGAGTCACTTGAGAAATATTTTTGGAATATGTTTGAATTGATCCTTTAACTCATTTCTTTCAAAATACTGTCCAAATGGAACATCATCCCCAAGGGAAAACCCAACATGATTTGTTTGGTGTGACTGTTCCACATACAGGACCCAAAGCGGGAAATTGAGAAGATACTGAAGTTCCTGGAGAAAGACGTATCAGAGGAAGTTCTGAATAAAATCATCTATCACACCTCCTTTGATGTAATGAAGCAAAACCCAATGGCCAACTATACCACTTTGCCCACCAGCATCATGGACCACTCCATCTCCCCTTTTATGAGGAAAGGTAGATAAGCTTTGTAGTCTAAGATGTCAAATGGAACTTTGTGGTCCCCATGATCTGGGTAGATTTTCCAGTACTGCTTCATGCTCCATTATTTATTATTTCCAGCAGCACCGCTGTACAATTTTTACAGGCAAGCTGCCTGTTTCTCTCCATTCTTGGTGGGGTTCCAAGAGTGCATGCTCACCTCTCCCTGTACTCCTGCAGCAATCAGTCAGATTTTGCCTTGTTTCAGGGATGCCTGGAGACTGGAAGAACTATTTTACTGTGGCCCAAAATGAAGAATTTGACAAAGACTACCAGAAGAAGATGGCGGGAAGCACCCTAAACTTTCGCACAGAGATCTGAGAGCAGTCAGGGAGTCTGCCCTGGACTTTCTTACCAGATTTTTGCCATTTTAGCCTCATGATCAAGGACACCTAAAACAAAGATACCCTTCCTCCAGTCTGGAGCTGCTACACACTAGCTATAGACCCTATGCCACTGTGATAATACTTCATCAAAATGTAACCAAATCCTAGGTGGTTTTTAATTAAGATACATGATCCCTCATATAGACAGCAACCACATAATGTACTCACCTGTCCTAATGCAAAATAAAGGTAATTTAGTTCCATCACTGGTTTACAATGGTAAAATAAATAAAGAAATAGGTAAGAGTCTAATTTCAACATAAGAGAAAGTGAACAAGAGAAGAATGAGGATGAGAGTGGGCACTAGGGAGAATGTGAGGAGGAATTGGTTTTTATTTTTAAAAGTCAGGAATGAGAAGCAGAGGTTAGTCCTACTCTTAAAGACATCAGATTAGGATGTGCGGAGGGTGGCATGAAGGATGGAATGCTGTGAGCTGGGTCTGATTCAGGTGGCTTCAAGCTGAAATGGTCCCAAAACCAAAGAGAAAGGCCACAGGAGAGGAATTAGGAATGCAAGATGAGCAAGAAACTCAGCCAGCTTCTGTGGCCAACACAAGGCTGGAAAGCAGAGAAATATTTTGTCTTTCAGATGGACTTCTCGGTGGGGGGGGCATGGGGAGAGACAGCACGAGAGACAGAGTCTTCAGTGAGCTCAAGGAAAAAATAAAATATTCAGTAACTGTTGCAAATTAAGAAAAACTTGCATATCTCTGTGGAAAATCATTTTTTATCTTTTTTTAAAAAGGGCTTTTAGCAAAACTGTCAGCATTGCAAGTTGATCAGCTAAACTTATGATTACATTCTTTTTCTTCTTTTTATTAAAACCTGTACCAAGAAAATATCTGCCATCATTTATACAAGTTATACAAAGATCCATGTATTATTTTTTTTAATATGAGGAAGGTACATTTTGTGGGATGGGTGATTTCCTTATCACTAAATCATACAACACAAAAAATTATCTACTCCACCCAGTAACAAAGTATATCCCTTTGCATTCTTTCTTCATTCCCTCTCTAAAGAAAGCATGCAAATCATTAACCACATGACAAATATCCCAGTATAGTATATTTGCAGAGTGCTGGCCCGTGCTGAGGAAAGATATGGTGAACTGAACCAGTGTGATTCAAGAGCAAATGAATTTTTATCAGAAACACCCACGCCAAATGTCTTAGGTTCATGTTCCAAGAGCTGCCTAACAATGTAGATGGCAAGCACATAATGACTCCCTTTATGACTATGATAGAAACTGGACATATGGGCATTATTGATCAGAATATAGGCAAAGGTCTAGAGTTTACAACTAGGCAAAACTTGCTTTTCTCCCTTTATAAGGCTAATTTTTTTACTTTAATTGTAAAAATAGATATCATTCTTATATTCTCTATAAATTTCAGCCACAGAAAATATTTCTAGACTCCTTTTTTACAAAGCTCTGCTATGTCCTTTTAAGCAATGCTAAAAGTACTATGAAGAATAATTAATGGTTTAATTCAATCTTAAAATATCTTTGGTCCAGCTGCATAAAATAAACATGATGAAGATGATCATCCATGTGTCCTAGATAATCTAACATTCTTGATGGTCATGGATAATTTCAAAAGAACTTGTGTTCTGATCACTTACTACATACACATACACACACACACACACAGAGAGAGAGAGAGAGAGAGAGAGAGACTCCTAAATATACCACAGTCATAGAAGATCAAATTGTAAAAGTTCAATTTACTTTGGAACCATTCACTTAGAAGAAAATAAAAAGCAGCAATGGGAAGTTAAAATCATAAATTTTACAGTGAGAATTACAAGAATGAGAAAGATCATATCATTCAACAATCTCACTTTTCAGATGAGAAGACTAAGAACCAGGGGGAGAGAGAGATGACTCTCACAAACAGGTCACAGCAGACACGGTTAAATTGGGATCCCCCAGCCCCTGGCTAGCTCCCTACACACTTCAGGAGTCACACCGATTGCAAAAGTCTTCTCTGCAGACTGCATCTTGCACTCACTCACTTCCTCTTTGCACTTGGAACAGCTTGGGCGTTCTATGGATTTTCTGATTACATGACATTCCAAAACTTTTCTAATGACCTGCTTAGAAAAAGAAAAACAACAAAACCTGAATGGGAATCCACTTAGAGACCCTTCCCAGATAGGGTCTCTACATTAGAGCATCTTGGAGATGTCCATGAGCAGGAAGGAGACCCCAGCAGAAACTGCCCTTTCCGAAAGCTGAGTAAAGCCCAGTTCTGCCCTCCATCCCCATCACAGGGCTTCTGGGCTTTCTTTGGCTTGTAGGTGCCAGGAAGACACCCCCTGCCTCCTGCCCAACCTCACCAAATCTCCCACAGGGCATGCCCTCAACGGAGTGAACTGAGCTCCCTATGCAGCCCCAAATGCTATGTTCCTCTTCCCACTAATAATCTACTGTGGGTTTTGCTGTTACAGGAACTTCAAAACATGTGAGTTTTGAAGTTTTGAAGTCCATATAAACTCAAGTATGGGGAATGCCAATAAACAAATTACAAAAAGGAGGGTTAAGGACAGGAATGAAAATCCTTAACCCTTTATAGGGGTTGTTAAAATGATCACCTGAAAGGCCATCAGACCTCAGTGCCTCCAGTGTCCCAGGTTCCTATGGAAGCAAACCGAGACCAAATTCAGTTACACTGAGGACTCAACCAGGTCAGAAACCACCAGCCAACCTCGGACTAGGGACTTCCCACTTATTGCTCCACTTTGACCAATTAAACATTTCCCCTACACTGCTTCCCATTCATTATATAAAAGTCTCCCCACATGCTCCTTCAAAGGAGCCCTGAATCATTCTGGCTTGGAGAGCCATATTGAGGAATCATTGCCTGCTCAAATAAACTCTTTAAAATGTCAGAGTTTACCTCTTAACAGTTCCTATTCTGTTTTCAGCTTAGTAGAGTTAGAGTTCATACTAGGGGAATCTAATGATCAGTCTTCTCCAAAGAGGTTTTTCATCAGTGGAAGACCCTCCCAGCCCTTCTCCATTATCAGTGCCCTTTCTTTCTCTATATTCATGGGTGGTTGCTCTAGGCTCACAGAGGTTGGTCTAGGCCACTGAGGTGGCCTGTGGGCCAAAAATCCAGCCATTTAGTATAACTGGGAGCTAGGAATAAACTGTTTTTATACTTTTAAACAGTTGTTATAAAAACAACAGAAATGACAAAGAATATATGACCCACAAAGCCTAAACTATTCCCTATCTGGTCCTTTACAGAAACTGTTTTCTGACCCCTAGTTTAGGAGAGCTCCCCAGCAGGCCTATTCTTTAGGCAGAGGCCCTGGATGACCATCCAACCAGCCTTGCTGTAGGCGCCACGGCCACACAGGCATAACTGTTGCACACCTGCTACATGGAGGGAGAGCAGAGGAAAAGAGAAGGGAACAAAAATTGCCAAATTTGGCTTTACAAATGAACAAACATTGACAAACACCCTCAGCCCAGCTGTGGCAGAAACAGAGCATATCGCAAGACCATCATGCATGGCTGGCACAAACATCCAGGCCCTGGTGTCCTCTCCTCCCTCATGCCCTGCCCCATCAGCAGTGCTTCCTACAGTCTGTATATCTGGGCTCTCTCGGCACATTGTAATGGCTTGCCTTTCACCAAGTGCTTCAGAATCGCTCCCCGGGAAGAAGAGGCAGTGCTCCTCAGAGACACCTTTACATCAAGGAGGGCTGAGCACTTGGCTGTGGGCAGCAGGAGTCATGGACCCTCCAGTGGTTCTAATATAATCAGGGGTCCTCAGCTGTCTGCAGACTGCCCCGAGTGCTGTATCTTTGTTGGCAATGTGGACTGTTTCCAGCAAACTCATCTCCCTCAGGGTCATGACTCCTGTCCATCACTGGGCACCACCTTCCACCCAGGGGGCACCCTGGGAGAGTAGAGGTGATGTGGCCGTCTCTCCTCAGTGGTGCTTGTTCTCCTCCCTCTCACCCTCCCTCTCACCAGCCCTGACCCATGATCAGTCTCTGCATTCAGTGACTCCCAAGCACACCGTGGCTTCTACTTCCTCCTTCTGCAGTCTCTTCATGAGAATAATCAACCCTTCATGTTCCATCTTCACCATAAGCAAAGCTAGAAAGAGAGACTTCTTTACCTGTCATGTTGGTAGTCCTCTGAGAAATCTCCCTCCCCACGCCGTCTCTCTGTATGTGTCCAGGGCCACATCTTCTCGGGGACATGCTCACATGGCTAGGTCCTAGAATTGCCTTACAGTGGCAGCTGGTTCTTGGAAAACCCATAGAATGTGTCACACCAACTTCCTCCAAACCCTACCAAGCAGAACTCAGAGATGTTAGCACTTTTCGTAAATCTCTGTCTGCCTTGGTTGACCATCCCTGAATTGACTCGTCTGAGTCTTAACTGGGGTTAAGTGAGGAAAGTCCAGTCAGAGCGGAGCATGGTTTGAGTTCGGACAAATAGAAAATGTGTCTGTGCCTCCTTCTACCTCAGCTGATAAAGACAGCCCACCTCAGTCAGCTCAAGCTGAGTTTCTGGGTCAGCTTGTACTGGTCTTACTTGGATGAATTCCTGAATACGGACAGGAGACTTCCTGCAGATCCGTATTTGTGAAGATAGGGGTCCTGGGTGAGGATCCCATGGGAGTCCCAGAAATCCAGACATGATCAGATCCTCCCAGGCTTCCTCCCAAAGAGTTCTGAGGAGCACTCCCAACAATCGGAGCCTGTGCATGGTAAAGGGCCTGCCTCCCTTTGAAGCTTGTGGGGGAAGTACTCCTAGCTCTTGAAGCCAAGGGAGGTCCCAGGCCACAACAGCTCTCATGCTCCGGAGGCGGGAGCTATTCCTCCACCCACCTTCCCATCTGGAAGAACCTCCTGGGAAGTGGTGTACATATTGTGGTCCCAGGAACAAGCGGGTGGACACAGAAGTGACCAATGGTGTATGTGAGCCATGACAGCAAGGACAGTAAAGTGCAGGTGCAGTTTTCAGGTGGTGACCTGAACATGGCCTCCAGCCAGAATATAAGGATCAAGAAGGGTTATGTGTGGCTGATGGACAGCTCCCCACATGTTAGTTCATCCCCAGTGTCCGGCTGGATTGCTGTGGTCTCATGGGTCATCAGGCCCCCAGGAGCAGTCATTAGTGGTGTCTACTCACAGACGTCAGCCCTAGGTGCAAAGTTTAGCAGAAAAAGGTAGACAA